GGGTCCTTTCCAATGTGCTCTCTGGACCAGCCTTATAATTACTGGAAATTAAATACTGTGGAGGATACTGCATTCTGTTGGCTAAAAGCCTAGACAAACCTACTCAGCAGCTAAACTGTGCCACCCATTTCTCCTCGGCTAACTGCGCTGTGCTGAGTTTTAACCTCAAGCTCATAAATGATACAGCCTCTCTCCACAAAACCCTCTCTCCCGCTCACAGCCACCCTGAAGTAAACGCTGAGGCATACAGAGGAGAGGCAGCCTCTGGTAAGGACAGCTCCTGAGTTACTACGCAGAAGCAAGCAGGGCACTTTGGGAGCTTTGAACTCCTGGGGGCCCTTGGGCACCATGTAAGGGCACCGAGGCAGTAAACAGCCTTTTGCAGGTTCCAACATGCCAGTGGAGGAAGAAGGGAGAGAACTGGTTGGTGAAACAGGAAAGTGGACTTAGGCTAAACTGAAAACGTCTGTGATGATGGTTTTCCAGGATTTTTATTCCTTCGCCACCCAAGCACAGGCAGAGAAGGGGCCAGAAGTCTAGAAAGATAACGTGGGAGGAGGGAGAGAAGCTGTTTCCCCGCTCTCTTCAGACAATTTCATAGACCCAAGAGCGCTCACACCAAATGCCTCTCAAGAGTCAAAACAAAAGCAACAATAATCATGCCCCTTGAGGTGGCCTCCCATGTGATTTCCCATTAAACGGTGTCTCTGCCGCTTTTCACTCTGAAGATGATCTAATTATGTTTTCTTCATATAATTGTGTGGCTTATGGGGCACAGATTTGAATACATTTTGGCTGCAATGAACTGTTTTAAAGTCTCCTGGGTTACATAACTCTGGGTTGCTAGCTTCAAAAGAAACGAATTAAAGTACATGGAGCAGCTATCCTGTCCTGAGCCTGAGCCCAGTGCCTCACAGACTTCATCTCATTTTAAAAAGAAACTGCAAAGCAACCTCGGTCTTTTGCTGAATCGATTACCTTTTGGCCTTACCATGACTAAGAGGAGAGCACCAGCGTTAGAGTTTGTGACTGAGTGTATGGATTATGGGGTGAGATCCACCTGGGTTCAAGTCCTGGTCCTGCCTCTTACTACCTATGAGATCTTAAGGAACGTTCTTAACCTGCTGAGCTTCAACTTTCTTACCTGTAGGATGAAAACAATATCACCTAGGCACAGGACTTTTTTGAAGATTAAATATATTAATATGTGTAGAGCACTCTCTATGTGCTTGCACACACTATATAGTAACTATTATAAAAGGGAGTTGTTTATCAAAATGGTATACGAAATCTCAAGGTGGGTTGTTCTTTAGATAGGTAACCTGGGTCGTATATTACTCACAACTGAATTCTCAGGACCACCGTCAGTAATCCAAATATAAGGCCAGCTAGTAAACCGAGGTCCAGCCCCAGGATGATGGACACTATGCATGTAAACACCCAGATAACCTAGAAAAAATAGAAATAAAAAGGACTATATTAATTTATCCTGTACCATCAGGTGAGGGATTACATGTAAAAATAATGAGATCAGTAATACCTTAACCAATAAAGAAATTAAAAAAAAATAATGAGATCAATTGTCCATGAAGAAATTATAGTTGACCCTTAAACAACACAGGTTTGAACTGCGTGCGTCCACTATACATGTGTTGTTGCTTTTTTGTGTGTTTTTTCAGTAAGACCTATAAATGTATTTTTCTTATGCTTTTATGCATAACATTTTCTTTTCTCTAGCTTGCTTTTTTGTCAGAGTACATATATAATACATATAGCATACAAACTTTGTGTTAATCAACTATTTATGTTATTGGTAATGCTGGTCAGCAGTAAGCTATTAGTAGTTAAGTTTTGTGGGGGCGGTAGGGAGGGGAGGGGGTCAAAAGTTATATGTTGAGCCCGGCTGGCGTGGCTCAGTGGTTGAGCATCAACCTATGAACAGGAGGAGGTCATAGTTCACTTCCTGGTCAGGGCACATGCCTGGGTTGTGGGCTCGATCCCCAGTGGGGGACAGCCAATCAATGATTCTCTCTCATTATTGATGTTTCTATCTCTCTCTCCCTCTCCCTTCCTCTCTGAAATCAATAAAACATACTTGTATATATATATATATAAATATTAAAGTTACATGTGGAGTTTTGACTGCGTAGGGAGGGGGTCAGAGCCTCAACCCTCACACTATTCAAGGGTCAACTGTACAGCTTTTTTTGATATTCTGATTTCATTTCATATTTAAATGGAAGTAGAAATGGAAACTGGCATATAGACCAACTCTCCTATTTAAATTTTTAAATTTCATTTTAGAATAGGTAATGTATTAACATGTTCAAAATGACATTAATATAAAGAGTGTGTACTAAAAAATCTTATTTGCACACATCTCCCCTCTCCACCCATGTCCATCCTCCCTCCCTGTTTGTATTCTCTTTGATTTCTCTCTCTGAGTGTCTGGGTGTGTACAACACACATGCACACTTTCACCAGCATGTCTTTTTGAAAGTACAAGTAAATATGACTATAAAGCATGTTTTGTTTTTCCCATCTTTTAATGTGTTATACACACTCTTCTATTCTGCACTGGTCATTTTTTTTTTCACTTAACGATTTGCTTTGGAGGCCTTTCCATACTGATATATAGAGGGTTTTCTCATTCCTTTCATCTGTTCCAGTTTAAATTAGAGCATAACTCTAAAGAATTTTATTTCTGATTTTTTCTCATCCCTCAGAACAGTTGTGGAGGTTACTTTGGTCAGAATTATTATCAACATGGGTTTTTGTATTTTTGCTTTGCTTCATGCTTTGTTTTGTTTGTCCTTCTAAATTAGAGGGTTTGTTGTTTGTTTGGTTTGGGGTTTTAGAAGGCAAACTGTATATGAATGGGATTCTTGCTGGAAATGGATCTTCCCAGGGATACAGGACCTTAAAAAACATAGTTCAGGTGGAAGATGTGAAAGCTTTGGTTATCTACCCAACTTTACTGCCCTCGGGCTCCCAAAATGCAAGTAAGACTTAGAAGATAAGGGGACATAATGATATGCAGGAAGCAAATAAGAACCAAATCTATATTTTTTTTTAAGAACCAAATCTTATTTCAGAGAAAAGTGGGCGACTTACAGCATCAATCTTGTTCTGCCTCCATAGACGAGGAACATCACACACTTGCATAAACATCCCTTTCAGGTTGGCAATTACAACAGCTGCCAAGACCGACTGCCAAGAGAGACAGAGAAGGCTGTGTTACTCAGGGGAATGGTTTTCCATGTGATGATTTATAAATCTCCTGTGATTTATCTGCTGGCAGAGGAGAGAAATTATGCAATGAGTGTACTGAGAAGCAGGGTTATACCTTCTGCAAGGGTTCCAGCAGCTTCCCCAAGGCAAGGATGGCGATCATCACAACCCCAGCCGAGATGATGCCAGCAATCTGAAAGACACACATCTCCCATCAGCAGCGTTCTCCCTTCTCCCTCATGTCTCCCAGCGTGCTGGCTGTGTGCATCATAGAGCCCATTCCCACATGCACTTGATGCTCCTGACCTCCCCCTTCTGCTCATACTATTGAGAGAAATAAGAATTACTTGCTAAAACTCTACAAGACTGAAGAAAAATGGAAATCATATATATATAGCAGCTATGGCAGGGAAATGAAAGAAACTGTGGAGACTGAGTCTGCTAAATAAAGCCAGTTTGACCTGGATTTCATCTGGATATATTAGACCTCTAGTTTTAGGATCAATTCAGGAGGCCATACTTCTAATTATTTGCCCTCTCAGGAAACAGGGACCGTTCTCCTTCCCAACAATAGATTATGGTGATGTTTTGTGGAAGTAAATTCTCAGGGAATTTACTGATTCTTCTGCATTATTGAATCAGCAGCCATAATAAAAAGTCTGTTAACATCATACCTGTAGCACATCTTTGCCACCAAAGTTTCAGACAAGATAAATTTGCCTGTCTTATTGCAAACTCAAAATGTAACACAAGCCCAGCCGGTGTGGCTCAGTGGTTGAGCATCAACCTATGAACCAGGAGGTCATGGTTCGATTGCCAGTCAAAGCATATGATTTTCTCTCATCATTGATGTTTCTCTCTCTCTCCGTTTCCCTTCCTCTTTGAAATAAATTATATATATATGTTTTAATTTATTTATTTTTTAATGCCACAGGAGCCTACTGAGAGGTGGGACCATGTCTCCTGCTTTCTCTAACGGTTTTGCAGATGTAGGCTCAGAACTTTGCATCCCAGTAGCCAGAGTGATGACGGACGATAGCAGGGGTAAAGAAAGCTTCAGAAACTTTACCTTTGCTGGCAAAAATAGCTCTCCTAAGATCCATAAATAGTTAGGAGAGAGGATGAGGGGGTGGGACCTATTCTCTGGTTTGATCAGATGACCACTGAATTCTCTGTTCAGCTGGGGCATGGCCAAGGTGAAGACTAGAAGCTCTGAAACAAAGGAGAAAAGGAAACAGGAAACCAGAAAGCAAAGCAATCAGAGAGGAAGCAACAGGAAAGGTTGTGTTGGGCACAAGTACTGCTGGTGTAAGATGTTTGAGTTAAAGGAGACAGATACAAAACTTAAGGAAAGTTCACAGTCATATTTATTCATATCACCTAGCAAATTGATCATTCATATTCAGAATATAGCTAGGTCAGCTTGAGGCAATATTATGTATATGATGTACTAATCACACCTCCAGATTCCTAGTACCTTGGGGAACTTTCCTATCTCCTATCTAAGCAGAGAAGCTAATATCCTCCATTCCTCCCATTCTCCCTTCCCTTTTTCCATGCAATTACTTAACCAGTATTTATTGTCTTATCATGAGCAACTTGCATCTCATTGTGGATGTAGGGCTCTGTGAATTGGTGAGAGATATGGAGGTTGGGGGACAGCCAGCTGCCCAACTAATGCCAGGTGGGTGGCCACCTACTCACCAACAATATGTAATAATAAGGCCCTAATTCTAGGGATCAAGACTAATTTTATTACTACATTGAAATCTGTGAGGGGGTCGATTACTTGTACTTAATTTAATTGAGGTTGTTTTGTGGGAAATGCTGTAGATTTTGTATCTATGAGCAGATTCAATTATTAGAAAATGAATTATTCTGTTAAGTGAGAAGGTAGTCAGAGCTAGAGAACAGTTTGTAATTAGATTCCTTTTTTGTGTGAATCAGTAGTAATCACAGGGGGGTGACAGAAAGAACAGGTTGCAATGTTGAGCTCTTCTGCAATCTGTAGATGTACAGAAACAGTTAATGTCCCCTAACACTCATTCTTCTGTTCATTCATTCAGCAAATATATGCTGGGTGCTTCTTCTGTGACAGGATAATAATATGTATCATAAGTACTAAGACACTGTTCTTATCTTGAGGAGTTAATGACTGGAACCATGAGCATTTACAAGTACATATGTGCCAGGACTCTTCAAACATTTCCCCATTTAATCCTCATAGCATCCCTATGTGGTAGATATAATAATTGTGCCCATTCTATAGTTGCTGAAACTGAGGCTCGAATGTAAAAGAAAACATGAGAAGCCACACAAAGGAAGACTTGCTGGTGTATTTAGTCATGAGTCCCTTGATTTCAGTCCAGGCACTTAGACTTTTAACTCCAGAACTTAGCTTACATTTCAGTAATTAAATATCAAGACATTTCTATGCTTGTTTCATTCTTCAATACTGAAATGCTGGCATCCGTTTCTTCTAAATGTAATACACACCCATGTGTGGCAGGGGGGTATTAGCTTACCAAAACACCATTATCCCCAAACCCTCTGCCAAGGAGTCATTTTACATGGGCATTCTTCCTGGGCAGCCGGCCTGTATCTCATCGGAACCAGGAGGTAACAGCAGGACAGAGGACATCAGCAGTTGGGCATCTGCCTATACCTGCTTACAGCCATGTGACTGGAGAGCTTGTCAACGCCCCATCTCGAATGAAAGCAGCAGAGGCTCTTGCTGCTGACAGCTCCCCACTGACCATGGGTGTGGCTTTGGAAATCACCTCTGACCTCTTCCCCTTTGGCCCCCTGGCTACACCCCAGGTAGGAGCTGTCTTGTTTTACTTGCTTCCTCAGAGCTAGAAATGTTCGCAAAAAAAAAAAAAAAAAGTCAACTCAATTTTACCAAGAAAATTATAAAAATTAAAATTGCTCAACAAGAGCTAAGAAATTGGAAGAGGCCCATTCTCCCAACCCTGTCGCAACGACCCATTATAAATGGGTACGGGGCATCACGGGCACTTTGGGGACAATTGGCGCTCTCCCTGGGCAAGCCACTGGTGGAGTCATTCGCTTTGTCAGTTATTCTCTCTTATGCTTATTTGCGGCGTCTCCGCCTTAATAAAACCCTCTGTGCAGACTCTGTGGGTGTGTGCGTGTGCATGTGTATGTGTGTGTATCATTCACTTTGGATTTGTTGTTCTCCTTTACAGTCTCAATGTGTGTGCGTGTGCAGGTGTATGTGTGTGTACCACTCACTTTGGATTTGTTGTTCTCCTTTACAGTCTCAATGTGTGTGCGTGTGCAGGTGTATGTGTGTGTATCATTCACTTTGGATTTGTTGTTCTCCTTTACAGTCTCAAGGTGTGTGGTGTGCATGCGTATGTGTGTGTATCATTCACTTTGGATTTGTTGTTCTCCTTTACAGTCTCAAGGTGTGTGGTGTGCATGCGTATGTGTGTGTATCATTCACTTTGGATTTGTTGTTCTCCTTTACAGTCTCAATGTACTCTTTACTCTTAAATAAGAGCTCTTTCTGTGTTGGGAGGAGAAAACCCTTTAGGCATAACAGAAGCACGATTCCTGAGCCTGCCCCTGGCCCCCAACCACTGGATTTGGCATCTCTGACTCCATGTTTGACCTTTGAGAATGGCTCCTCAGTTTTCGGGACAATTAAAGGAGGGGCGGGCCAGAGATGAACTGGGATGCAGGTTTTGGGGTCACCTTGTGAAGGCAACAACTTAAGAACACATATAAAAGGCAAGATTAAATCCACACTCAGAACTTCAGGGAAGAACATCTTACTCAGGAAGAAATGTCAGGATGTTTCAGCAAAAATATTCTTGGCTGTCAACCTGTCATTCCCTGGGACCAAGGCCTCTGGAGGAAGTTCCTGATCCTTGTGGAGGAAAGGTAAACAAACACTTCTAATTTTTCTGAAAATATAATAACGCCCTAAGCCATGAATGTGCTTTTACTAGACCTTCTCTTTCTCCAGATAGCACATCGATAAGAATCAGCATTCCTCCTGACTGGTCCTTTGTCAATTGTTATTGAAAAGCGGGTAAGTGTAACTGTCGGCCAGCTGAGCACTGACACGAAGAGATTGGGGAATGGCTGCTCAGAAAACCACAAATGTTGTTGTTTAAAAGGTTTTTGGTGAGGAGGTGAAACAAGGCAGCCCGGAGTAATCAGATCAGGAAGCACTGCCTCTCTCCTCTCAAAGGCTAATTGTCCTGCTCAGTTCTTGTGCAAGCCGCTCTGAGCCGCGGTTCCAACGCATTCTTTGCGGTGGATGGATATTTCCACGCTGTTCTTCCCTACCTGTGTCTTTCCTCCCGTGCTCTCCTGGACAGCTGTGCGGGACAGGGCGGTGGTAGCCACGAAACACGAGAAGAACCCGGAGAAGATGTTGCTAATCCCAAAGGCAATGAATTCCTAAGGGAAAGAACAGATGACAGTGATGCCGCAGATATAATCTTTTCAAGCCCCAAAGCCATTTAAGGAAGAAGATTAAGAAAGCAAATTTGCAAACCCATCCTGCCTGACAGTGCCAATTTAATTTTTGCCATGGAAGGTGCTTAGGGACCGGAACAACATCAGGAGTTTGGGGTCCTTAGAGCCTAGAAGAGGCCTCACTGCTCTCATCATTTTTAAGGCTGATGAGGAGCAGTAACTGATGTTTTGCTAAAATGCTTATTTCACTGCCTGGTGAGTGGCATATCTGCTATAACTCTCACAGAAAACATTTTTCTGCTCTCACATAAAGTGTTATTTCTGTGGATGAATACTTGCTATGAAGCATATTATGGCTAGGAGAGCTATTATTCTGCTTGATTACTAATCTTTTAACTGCTGTAATTGCTATGCTGTGTTTTCAGGAACATACCATAACTGAGGATTTGTGAGCTCACCTGGCAATGTATCAGATGCCTACAAAAATTGTCCTGTGTACATTAATTAACAGTGAACCATCTCAATTTAAAGTGGCCACAGCTATTATTAAAAGTGTTTGTTGCACTGTTTTGCCACCAATAAAAAAATATTACCAGGAGATGTGGGACTACATGACAAATTCTTATTCTGACCTAATATGTTAACTTTGAATGATATTTAGGACCTGACAGAATGAACTCTTTTAGAATTCTGATTACTTCAACTGATTTCTTAAAACTAAAGTGATGCAGTGTGCATATTTTTAAAGTCATTTCAAATTAGGATTCAAGTCACACAAGAGGGAATCCAACTCAATATAAGACTGGTAGAAGAAACCAATCTCTTCTTTAGCAGACAACAAAATCTTTCCCATTTATTTATTTTTCTTATTTTCAGCCCTAGAAAACCAATTCAGGCCTGGCCAGTGTGGTTCAGTGGTTGAGCATCAACCTATGAACCAGTAGGTTAAAGTTCTCATTCAGGTCACATGCCTGGGGTTGCAGGCTCCATCTCCAGTAGGGGGCATGCAGGAGGCAACTGATCAATGATTCTCTCTCATCAATGCCATTTCTATCTCTCTCTCCCTCTCCCTTCCTTTCTGAAATCAATTATACATATAACCAGTTCAGCAAAAGGGTGACCATACCTGGTTCCCATCGATGGCATAATCATACTTGATGGCGTATACTTTTCCTACAGACACTGCAATAGCGTAAGCCACCACAGCAATGGAAAACGATGCAGCCAGCATCTCAGAAAACAAGTTCACAGGTGGCAGTGCAGGAGGCAAGAACCTAGTGAGAAAGTGCGGTGAATATTTGACCGTAATTCTCTCTTCCCACCTTGACAAATGCTGATCAACCCAGCCACAAACTAGACAAGAAAGTACTTGATCCAAGAGGGCAAAAGCACATGAGTATAAGTGGTAGCATCCGCTTTTATAATTTTTAGTCAGAAGTTGGTGTCATCTCATTGGCTGATTTCTTTGTCCCCAACTGAGAGTCTACAAATGCCACCTTACCTGTACCTCTGATATGAAAAAAACTGTGATGGTTGGTTCTTTAATATCATACAATCCTATGCCATGCTTGCACACATTAGTGTTTCTCCTTACACAATTTCACCTTAAAGATCTTTGCATTTCAACAATATATACTAGCCATGAAATGAGATTTACCCTGTGTGGAGGGATGTTTATTAAAGAAATAAAGAATATAAGAATAAAGTGGAAAATCCATATCTTAAAGGCCAGGATATTTAAAATCTTCTTGAGTTCAAAAAAGAGTAAATTTATGTAATTATCAGAATGCTTCGTAGTCACAATGACTAACATATCCCAATGATGGTGGTGAGGTCAAATGACTACTGTTTTACAAAACCAGAGCTTTTCTACAAATCATATAAAGAGAAAAACCCCACAAGTTTATAATCATGTGGTTGTTTCCAAATATGAAAATGTGGGTGATGACCTTCATGGACCTATCTCTTGACGACTATTCACATGGTCTAATTCCAGGGATCCTAGAAAGAAAAACCTCCCCTACCTATTTCACTATGCCTGAGGTTTCTTTAATAGGAAGTTACATTTTCCCTCTATAATTAGAGGGATGTGGTAAAGTGAAAATAAGATTCTCATAGACATGAGGTTCTTATGTGGATTTATTGGGGACCAAGTGGTCCTAACGTATGGTTGATCGTCAACAGGATAAAAGAAAACTGCCTCACTTTTACTCCCTTATTGGACGATTGACAGGAGCCTGAATAACAAGGTGGGTTAGCCTGGCCTTTCTTTTTGCTGTCATCGTACTCATCTTTAACGCTCTACTTCTTTTGCTCTTTTCCAATCTCTTCACTCCACCCTTTCTTTTTCAGTTTTGTTAATGTCTTTAGACTTGTTTCTGTGCAATCCTGTTAGATCAGGCAACAATGTCCTTTCTGGTGGCTTGTTTATTAACAGTATAGGCTTGGGTATTTTATTCCTTTAACAAATATTTTCTGGGATCCTATAGGTAGGAGGTAGGTACTGTGCTAGGAAGACAGAGTAAGATAAATGGGCTCACTGCCTTGAGGAGGAGCCTGCAGTCCATGGGGCCAGGCAGGCTGGGTTACCTAACCACTCACTCCAGGTGGTCTGTTAGAGGACTCTCGTGACTAAACCCAAGAGCAAGAGACTAAAGATCCATTCTCAGGGGGAGAGCAGCCAGGAAAGCTCTGGATAGGGAAGGAAAGGATGACGTAGGGCTGTGGTTGGCAAACTGCGGCTTGCGAGCCACATGCGGCTCTTTGGCCCCTTGAGTGTGGCTCTTCCTAAGCCTTAGGAGTACCCTAATTAAGTTAATAACAATGTACCCACCTATATAGTTTAAGTTTAAAAAATTTGGTTCTCAAATGAAATTTCAATTGTTGTACTGTTGATATTTGGCTCTGTTGACTAATGAGTTTGCCAACCACTGATAGGCCAACAGAAATGAGTTTCCCATATTAATTAATGAAACGGGGGTTTATGGGTTGAGGGATTTTCTGTGGACCCCCTCTAAGTGTTTCATCTTGGCAAGTCCGACAAAAGGGATCTATAATATATTTTTATGTGGTTGTTTTTAACTACTTAAACCATCTAATTGTTCTGGTGAAAATGCTCTAACTCAAGTAGCCACACTGTATCTTCTATTTCATTCCGTTCAGCGCGAGGATTTACTATCAACATGTTAATACTCTAAGGCAGAGCTTCCCAAATATAGCTGGTCATAAGAAGCACTGGACGTGCCTTTGAAAAACATCGATTCTGAGGCCCCTTCTCTGGAAAGCCTGATTTAATGCGTTTGGGGTGGGAACCAGGAATCTTTGTTAACAAGGATCTCACGTGATTCTCCCAAAAAGGTAAGTCTGAGAAACATTAGAATGGAAAATATGTTAATTAAGCCCATTGTAGCCAGTTGTAAATTTTCAAATATTTTTTAAACAGATATTAGAAGGAAAACGAGATGATCAAATGCAAAGGCAGCAGTTCCCTGTGGAACAAGCGCTGGGACTCCCCTAGCCCGAGAACTTTCTATTAAGAGCATGGAGACACACAGACTGGGACAAGGGCCCTCAGCTAGCACTAAGGGGACTTAGTGGTTATATAAGAGGAAGGCTCATCACAAATGCTGTAAGTTAATGTTCCAAATCTAATAAACATTTGGGCTTCTTTTTTAAAATGCCATATGATAAAATTATAGTGCAGGGCACTTGGTCCACTCTTCGAATTTTATGAGAGATCTCATTAGCATTTCACAACAAGCTCGAGCTGAAGTTTCAGTAGTTGTCATTACCCTTGTTTTATAGAAGAACACTCCCCCCCTCTCCCCCGCTCCCCTGCCTCCAAGGCTATGAACTAGTTGGTGTTAGAGATGGACAAAAGATCTTAGTTTTTTCCTTTTCTAATTCACCAAACATAGATAAAACTTCCTTTGCAGATTATGCATTTTATTGAGAGGACCAAATGACATAAATATTACCTAAAATTGATTAAATGAAACGGTAGAGTATTTAGATCAGATGTCCCTGATTCCTTAAGCAGACTGTCCTCAGTTCAAAAAAAAAAAAATAGAACGTTACTATTCATGATTCTATTTATATTATACATATGAGTTTAAATCAGGAGTCTGGTGGTAACTGTACACGTCTTACCACTTTTTAAGAATACGAAGGACAAAGAGAGACCATAATTCAGGCTGCTTTTAAACAAATGGACTGAACTTCATCTACATAAATATTGTTTATCTGATAGTTTGCACAAATGGGTATTTCTTTAAGATCATACACAAATAGGACTATTGAAGGAGCACCAATGAAATGAAGCTTGTAATAAAAGGTTTCATTTAAATAGAAAGTACTGCCTCAATAAATTAGTATTGCCTAAGAGGAATGCCATACTCACCCCCTTGGGATGGATTTAACAATGCCAGCATTGTAATTTTTTTCCAGGTTGGCTCCATATGAAATGGCAGTGGCAATTATTGTCTGAAATAAAACAAGAGGTTTTAAAAAAAATCCATTTGTTTTAGCAATTCCTTTCTTGTCGAACCAACTAATGCTGAATTTTCTAATTACATATTCTACTTACCACAATTACTTCAATAGGAATAGGGATCGGGATTTTGTGTCTAAATCGGTCATTTAATTCCTTAACTGCCATACAGATGATAATGGTGAGTAATCCAGCAATGAAATCAGCAAGATTGGTGTTACCAATATTTTGAAAAGTGTCAACCAGAGTCTGTAAAACAAAAAGATTTTATAGAGTACTCTTATGAAAAAATTATGATATCAAATAGCACTTAAAATTATGTAAAATCATAAAAATATGTTGACTAATTTAATGACAAAGATCATTAAATATATCTCAAGTTATTAATAATGGTTTACTTGGAGTAATAAAGCTATGGGTGATTTCTACTTTCTTATTTTTGCTATCTGTGTTTTTTACAATAAAATGAGATCTCTTAAAAGAAAAAAAAATGTCTTTTACTTGCAGGAAAACTTTTAAAGTTTGCATCTTAAAGTGGTTTTACAGTTGCTATTAACTGGCCTAATTTTTGCCATGTTGATATGGTACTGTTGAAACTAATGACTGATAAATCCAACAGTCCCACTTAGCTAGTATTTTAGGTAAAGGTCTTTCCTAAACCTGAATGATACAGGTTATAATAAAATGCCTGAAATACTTTATATGTAATTACATATGGACTGGCCTATTCATTATGGCCAAGAAAATCATCGAACTGATATATAGGTTAAGTACAAATTTTTGGAAATTAATTTGGTATTTAGTTCAAACTTTAAATGAACTAAATGACTTAAATAAAAGTAACTCTTTCCAAGTGGAGAGATAAGCTAGCTCAAGAAAAACTAGTTTTGCTTTGTAAATAGAAGGTTTCTGGGACTATAGGGATGTTAGCAAGGGAGGATCCCAGGAAAGAACACTAATATCTTTGTTACAGCAACTTCAGTCCTGAAGAAGGCTTGACTGTTTGAACAAGGCATTCATCAATTCTTTGAGACAAATAACCTTCCAGTGAAGATAAAGGGATGGAACATCTCATAGTTTATAACATGTACCTTATTTATTTCTACAGGTGAACTATACTTAAATGAATTATAATGACAATCTGACAGCAATTCCCTATTATGAACATTAAGTAATCTAGGAGTCATTTTTCCAGCAACTTCAACTCTCTGGAATACATTCAAGAGTAAAGGAGCACTGGCTGGTGTGTTCAGTGGTTAAAACACTGCCTCAGACACCAACGGGTTCCAGGTTCGATTCCCTGTCGAGGGCACATACCTGGGTTCTGGATTCAATCCCATCCCAGTCAGAGTGCATGTGAGTGGCAACCAATCGATGTGAAAAAGATGTTTTTCTCTCTCTCTTTCTCCCCCTTCCTTCCTCTCTTTCACTCTCTCTAAAAAAAAAAAAAATCAATGGAAAATGTCCTCCAGTGAGGATTAACAACAGCCAAAAAAAGGGAAAGGAATTGGTTGTCACAGAATAGTCATGGGGATGTAAAGAGACTATAGTCAATAATATTCTAGAGACTAGGGGACGTGCAGGATGAGTGCAGGATTTCTGGCGTGGTCACTTAAGTTATGTAATGTCTGGTCACTGGGTTGTACACCTGAAACTAATATAATGATGTATGTCAACTGTAATTGAAAATAAAAAATGATTTTTTAAAAAACAAGTAGAGAGTAAAGCAGCGTGGGGAGAAGCTGTAATACAGTGGGGCCTTGACTTATGAGTGTCCCGACTAAACGAGTTTTTTGAGATACCAGCTGTCTCTCGGCCGATTTTTTGCGTTGAGTTGGTAGAGTAATTTGAGTTAATGAGCAAACTCGTAAGTCAAGGCCCCACTGTACAAGCAAAATACCTTCCACCAAGTGCTTGAACTAGAGTGCAAGCATTTGACCTGGAGCAAGCCTCTTGGACTTTCACTCGGAGTATTTTACTCCTGCTTTAAACTCAATACTAACAAGTTTACTTTGTTTTCCAGAGTCAGTAAAAGAGACAGAAACACTGATAATAACAAAGTGAGGCAAATGATAGCAGATTGAAAAAGAAAAAATGGAGAAACTTCCAACAAGCAGACACTATAACTCAAGAACTTAGAGCATCTACCATAGGGGTAAACAGCCCTAAGTCCTGAGGTATTGCCTTCTGGCTCTTTACATAAGAATTTTCTGATGACGAATGACCTGCATGAATTCATGAGCTCAATAGAATATGCTGATTGTCTATATAATAAAGGTCTACTTTTGACTCAAGATGGAAAAATTCAAACTCAAAAACAATCAGGGTAATTATTCCAATCATACAAACATTTTCATCTTACAAAAATGATCACAAGACTCATTTAACCCAGGAGAGTCACTTAGGCCTTTGAATAAAAAGCACCTCTGGTGTATTAACAATGCAAGACAAGTTCCAAAAACCCAAACCAGTTTCTATTACACAATTGCATCAAATAAGGCATGTGAATATATGCGTCACCTATACAGTCAGAATCTCTTATGAAAAGTTCTACAATAGAAAGTTTAACCTACGTGGAAATAAAATTCACCCATATAAACCAAGGTAGTCAGATTGTGCCCAAAGATATAGAAGTGATGCTCTAAGAAAGCACCCGTGGTTAGAACATCACCCTAGGCACCAAAGGGTCCCAGGTTCGATTCCCTGCCAGTGGCACCCTGGCTGGTGTGCTCAGCAGTTAGAGTGATGGCCCATGAAAGGAAGGGTCATGGTTTCAATTCCCAGTCAAGGGCATGTACCTTGGAACTGACTGGGGTGTGTGCGGGAGGTAACCAATTGATGTGTCTCTTTCACACCAAAGTTTCTCTTTCTCACTCTCTCCCTCTTTCTCCCTCCCTTCCACTCTCTAAAAATCAATAGAAAAAATATTCTCCAGTGAGGATTAGAAAGAAAGAAAGAAAGAAAGAAAGAAAGAAAGAAAGAAAGAAAGAAAGAAAGAAAGAAAGAAAGAAAGAATTGAAAAATTAAATCTAATTTAGTTGGCTATTAAAATACTATCTAAAATATGTTTAAATATGGGTACACATATAATTCCATATCCCACCTAGTATTCTAATAATTCAAATCATGAAAATGAGCTTTTCAGTAATGGATAATATTTATCACATTTTCTACCATACTTGGAGAATTTTAGGACCATTTCATTTAGATAAGTTCTTCATTCTTACCTAGCATTACCTGTGTGTATGAAGTAATAAAAAATTATACCTAATATTACATATGAGGAAATTGTTTCAGTTAACTTTTGGAGCCAAATTTATTTCCAGAAATATCACAGACCTTTCATAATTACCCCTTGACATCAGGCATTTCTTGCTATCAGAACTTGTGCGTGTGTGTATGTATGTATATATATATATATTGACCCTTAAAGTGTTATTTTCTTTTTATCATAATGTCTTAAATTTTACATACTTAAATAGATTCAAAGTAATGACTCTGATCAAGCTTAGGGGTGGCTTTCAAAACTCCCGCCATCTAGGCAAAGTTTATCAATGTGGTTTTCCTCCTTGTTAGGAGAAAAATGGGGTAGGTAGCAGCCATTTAGTAAGTGTAAAGAAAGTCTTCCTTTGTCAATTGAGACAAACCATTCAGAGTGAATGGTAGAAAACATAGTCTCTCTTAAATAGACTCTGATTTACTTAGATAATTGAGTAGCTACATGGTAGCATGAAGAGTATTACTAATTCTGAATAATTTTTCTGCATCCTATACCCTATTCTGAATACTCTTTTCAGCATCTCTGGCATTTGTAAATTAATGTTTATATAAATATTTTTTCTTTCCCAATATTTCATCCTCCATTTTTTTGTATTCATTATTTCTTGGTGTGTGGGTTTGTGTTTTTGGTTTTTTTTATTTTTGTTTTGTTTTTGTGTGTGTGTGGGGTGGGGGGGGTCAATCCAAAATACAACCTTATAACAAAAGGACTGTTAACTACATTCTAAGGAAAGCATCTTCAACAATCTTAGTCTTTCTTGGAGGATTCCACTACCACTCTGCATTTGTGGAAGGATTCTTTCATGCATGATTGCAATTGGTAATGTCATAAGCAAAATTCTCTGTTCACGTACTGAGTGGCTCTTTCAACCCTTCTGCAATCATTTCCCGACATACTCATTCTTTCTTATCAAAAGAGGAGGCTTATAGTCACCACCACATAGTGATGGTTGAAATATCTTCATCCAACTTGGCTGACCTGGGAGGGATTCTTGCAAAATTCTACGACAGGTTGTAACCTGAGACTTCAAAAATAGTGTTCAAAAGAACATGTCAACTAATGATTGTGGTTGAGCTGAAAACTTTTTGACCTTGTTCTAGTGCTTCCTGATTACTTTTGTCCCTGTTGATCGCGGGATCCTTGGCATCAAGCTTCATCTTAAACAGAGTCCTAGGAGACCAGTTCCCTGTCTACAGAGGTCCAGATGACCAGGGTTAACCATTGGCCTAGGCCTCCTGTGATCTGTGTGGATACAGACCTAGCAATGTTCATACAAGGCAGTGAGTACACTCAATAAGGAGTATCTGGGTGGATCCAGTGGGTTTGCATAGGGAATGAACGATGCCTGGCATATGGTAGGTAGTCAATAAATACTTATTAATTGAATTAATGACAAAGAAGGAATAAGTGAATGGTTGATGGGGAAAATGTGATAGCAAGAAAAAGCAGGCTGTCTCAGGGACTGCAAAAGTGAGCCTGTCGGAGGTTTCAAATCAAACCAAGGACTTGGTAGGAAAAAAAAGCAACAATGACAAAAACAATCCTGAATCAAAAAACAGCCTGTGCTAACGCGTTCTAATAGACTGAAAGCCTGGGGGGTGGACAGTAAGCTCCATGAGGTCTATTATTGTCATGATAATGAAAATAATATTACTATGAGTTTTTACTATGTGCCAGATATTTTGCTAAGTGCTATACACAATTTTTCTTTTTCTAATCCTCACAACTCTAGTAGGTACTATTATTCCCATTTTACAATAGAGGACACTGAGGCTTAGAGAAATATAACATGCCCAAACTTACATGAGTAATAGGTGGTAGAACCAATACTACAAGCCAGGCTTATTGAAGTTCAACATCCATGATCTTAACTACTGTTATATTTCCTCCTCTATCACTGCTTAGCATAGTAACTGATCATAATAGGCACTGGATAATATTTGTTGAATGGATGGAGTAATGTGGGATGCTGGCATTACTGTTGTGAAATTGAGCAAATTCCTGACCACTTCACTAGTTTTTAGATATATACACATGGCCTTACATTGTTTTAGAAGCTAATACATGGATCATTGAAGGACTCCATTCTTAATGTTGACATGTTATTTTTGCATATCATTCCCCCCAAGCCAGGGTGACATCATGTTACTATTATCATCACTTTCAAGCATCAAAAACATGTCTTACATAGAACATATATTTAGATACAAGAACTTTTCAATCTAATTAGTGTGCTCTACATCCTTCTTTTGCATCTCTTTTGCATGTTGAATCATCTCTGAATCTAATGTTCCTTTTTATCTATAATTGCTCAGACATTTACATTATACATTTTATGGACTCTCAGAGTTAAAAAGGGCTTTAGAGATGCATGTCCAATAGTTTCATTTTACAAATAAAAAAATAAAAGAGCCTTGAGATGTGAAATAATAATTTCAATGTAACGACTTCTATCGAGTACTTGTTCTGTGCCGGCCTCTGGGCCAAAATGCTCCTCATTTATCTTTATTTAACTTAGTTGGTAGATACTGTCAGCCATTATCCTACATTATGTACCAGAGGTCACTTAGCTTGTCGGAGGCAAAGATGAGACTGGAACTCTAGTCTGTTGCCCCCCTGAGCAGTCCTAGCTTCACTGTACCATTTTGTTTTCATCAGTATTTTTAAGTGCAGTGACACTTCTGAAACCATTTTGACCAACTGAGAATAATGATTTGCAAAATCTGCCTTTTTCGATGTAACTCATGACTTTATTGTTTTTTTCAGAGAAGGACGCTTTCAGTGACTCCCAAAGTATGGCATGGAGGAACGTAGGCTCTACAGACTCAGGTTAAAGAGGAAAAGAGCACATTCTCAGTAAGCCATCCCTAGAGTAAGAAGAAACACTTACGTAGATAATGGAGAGAACTCCATTATAGTTCTTGGTTGAAACGTTGAGAATGATCTTTAGCTGCGAGACCAACACTTGGAAGGCAGCAGCTGTTGTGAATCCGCCAATCAAAGGGTCAGCCAAGTACCTCACTATGAATCCAATCTGCAAACCCCCAAACACCAACTAGAACAAGAAAAGGAAGAATGTTTAATTAAATGTTTGCCTGGGAGAAGAATCTACTCACTTGAACTATTAACAAATTAAACTTAACACCCAATTTAAACTCTGGTAACCTGCCTATAACAAAAATACTTGTAGAAACAAATCTGAATTTCTTAATGTCCCCCCCCATCACTCTAAAATGTGAAAAAAGTGAGTAATATTAACCTTGAACTATTTCTAGATATGTACTAAGAAGAGCAAAAAATATGTACCTATTCCTGTGATCTTTTGCAAAATAACAAGAAATGAGTTATTCTGACTACTGGACTGAAAATTAAAAGAATTGTTTAGAATGCACACCACTATGTTATGTTATCTGCACCAATAGGAATGCCTTCCTTCTATTGATATAATTGTTCCCCTTCCCTTTTTCATAAATACCCATTGCCTTCATCTCCTAATTGGAACATTAACTGGGCTTTTGCCTGAATCAATGCTTTTGGAATAGCTATTCTTATTGATCTCAGTAAATGATTGTTGCTTCTCACTTTGAAGGGTCTTTTATTTTTAGGTCATCAACAGTTAATTACTTCAAATAAAAATCCTGCCAATCTATATTTTACTTGTAAATCCATTACCTGTATGATTCCAACCAAAAGAGTAAGTGTGCTTGCAATCAATATTCTTGCTGCATCTCTAGCCCCATTGTCTATCATGGTAGCATTTGATATAGTTCCATTACTGCTGGGTATGAGAAATTTTTCATCCGGTGCCAGGCTCAGAACAACAGATCCCACCATCAAACTGACCACTGGGAAAGGTCCTGGGAGAGAAAGTCTCTATCAATTAATAATTATTAATTACAAGTGTTTAGGTTCAACATGTCATGTCTACATAGGATTAGAAAGATGTGTGAGATAATTAGCTGTGATTGGGAAAAATCTATATTGTTTGTTCATAAAAGAAGCTATAAAGCAAATGTTTTAAGGCATTCCAGGATCCAGAAACGAGCAAGAGAGAGACATGTAGATAGATAATTACAATACAGCTTTCTACGTGTACAGAAAGGGTGCCTAACCTATCCTTGTGTGACCTCCTTTGGTGGTGGTGTGGGGATGGGACGGGGGAGAGTTGTCAGGTAAAGTTTCCTGGCAGAGATGGCACAGAAGCTGAGTCTTTACTTGTTCCATCTTACTTTTGTACCTAGAGCATCCAGTGTTCCATTCTGTGGAGCTGAGTACCTTGATCAATACCACAGGGTTCAAGTCAGAATAGACACAGTACAGGGAAGGTATAGTTTCCCTTTTTCTCTTTTCAAGACAAATTATTTTTTTCATATATCAAATGCAGTCTGTACGAGTCTATGTTTAAAAAGTATTCCTTCTCTTCCAGCAACTTCTCCACTTACTGCTGATATGTTTGTCCATGAGGATGTTGACCCTACCCTTTAATCGTGGAAGGCTTTAACAACTGGGAGGGCCCAGTACCAAAATCCAGTAACCTGAAATGTCTACATGGGTAGAATACAAAAGAGAAAAAAATCAGCTTCTATGTTTCTTATCTCATCAAGCATTTGGTATTGATCAGTTCTCCCAGGTGAGGAAGTTCTTTCAATCAATAAAACCTCTTCCTGATCTCCTTACAGAGACAAAGCAATATGCCAGATACTGGGGGACATAAACTAAGGACGAGGATATGGGTTGGGGATATAGTGGACAGTTGTCGTTGTTTCATGAGGATTGCCCAGGTAGACATGTCTGGTCAGCGGATGGATGGATGTGCAAAATTACCTCAAGGGTAAACATCAAAGTAGTAGAGTAGCATTAAAACATTTACTTAGCAGAACATTCTAGCAAAAGAAAATTCAAATTTTAGGTACTGCAGGAAATAAACCTATTTTGAACCATACTAAGAAGGAAAGCCAAGCTTAGTTTCAAAATTGTTTTGGCACGATTCTGCCAGTCTTCCAATCTGACTGACTTAAAAATAAGTATGCTCTTTAATGAAATAATGAATATGTATTTGATGAACATAATTTAGTAAATGCTAAGCCAGTCTGGTAAAACAGTAAGTTCAAAGACCTCTTGAAGATTTTTATGGTCATTTTTTGTTATGGAAGAGAATGCTTTTGAAATATGGAGTCAAATCCTATCCTATATGATAAAAGGCTAATATGCAAATTGTCTCCTCAGGAGTTTGACCAGGAGTTCAACCACTCGCTATGATGTATGCTGACCACCAGGGGGCGGCACAGAATGAAGGAAGGCCCCAACCGGCAGCATGAAGGCTCCGATCGGCCCTGATCACCAGCCAGACCTAGGGACCCTACCCGTGCATGAATTTCATGCACCGGGCCTCTAGTTTATTATAATAAAAAAAACTAAACCATGCCAAAATATGAAGGTAGGCTGTAATTTTAATCATTTTTTCAATTTCTCTGCTTCATGAAAAAAGAGTTAACTATTAAGTAAACTGAAGGCAAAGTATTCTGAAAGCTAAGAAGAATCATTTGCATCTCTGAATAGAAAAAGCAGGCAGAGCACTAAAGGCCTATTTCCCTGGAAAACATTACCAAAGATATGGAAGCAAAATACACAGAATATGGCCAAACATATTAAACAGGAATAATACAAATTGTAGTATAGGTTTATAATTACCAACTGAGATGTGTCTTGATGTTCCGAAGATAAAGTATGTCAGGATAGGGAAAAAAGCAGAGTAGAGACCATATCCAACAGGAACTGCAGCTAGTAAAGCGTACGCCATACCTGAAAGTATATCCAAAGGGATTGAATTCGCAAACAAAAGGGACAGTATATTTCTACTGTACAAAGAAAGGCCTTCCGTAGAGTTCCCCAATTTGCAGCTTGTCCGGAGCTTTCCCTTACTGTGCGTGCAGTCTGTGGCGAGGCTAGTTTGCAGACCATGATTCAAATCTGCTGGGATAATGATTGCATCTACACAAATCAACAGCTCTAAAGAACTGACTCAGCTGATCAGTAATTGAATCACTCACTGATTACAGGAGTGGAAAAAGGAATCAAGTCAGCTGATGATTAAAAACTTGGTCATTCTTTTCAAAGGTTTATACCACCAGTTGTGCATTTAGGCAGTTTCACCTGAATTTCGTGTTTCTCTGTGTTCTGAGGGACACAGTCATTTTTGCTCTGCCCTATCTTGTTGGGGAACAGAAATTAGATTCAAACAAAGAAAAAAAAATGACAATTGTACAAAGTGGTAGGCAAGACAATGCCCCTGGGCTCTCCATTCAGACATCAACTTCTCCACTACACTAACCCAAGCAGTTCTGGGTGCATGAATGTCTTCTGGTCTGAAGAAATTTCAACCTATCCATGTACAGGAGAGGGGGGAAGCTGATAATGATGTGCTCTTTTCCTTGGTTAAATACTTCTTACATAGTCAGCACCTTTTAGTCCTTATTACCTTCCCATATTTCATTCACTTAAAGTGAAAAAAAAATAAAGCCCTTTATAAGAGTAAGAAAAAAAAGTGTGGGTACAACCTAAATATACTGGCCCATAGGTGCCCCAAAATTATGTTTTGAATAAATACCTCAAAATAAGGAAGTAGTTAACTAAATTATACTTTATAAACTATTATTCACTGAAATAAAATTGATGTGATGTATAGAAAACATTTACATGGACATATGTAAAGTATAAAAAAAGAAAAAAGTAGAATTCAAGTTAGTGCATATATATGCTCCCACTTTTGTAAAAATAAGCATGCACATCATATGCATAAAAATAATATGGCCCCAACTGGGTGGCTAAGTCCTTCTTAAACTTTCATTTCCCAAAACTTGGCTCAGCTGTTCTTACAGGCCTGAAAATGGGAACTCTTTCAGTTTTCATATAGTGTCCTACTTAGGCACAACTGCTATTTAGATATACCCTAATCAAATTAATTATAAAAGGATTTGGTAAGCCCAGCTGCTGTGGTTCAGTGGTTGAGCATCCACCCATGCACAAGGGGATTGCCAGTTCAATTTCTGATCAGGTCACATCCTTCTTATCCCTCAGGAGTCAAAGGATGTGTCCATCTCACACCTATGAGAGTCCACTGTGCACACAAGAACTTGTCTTCATTTAACTTAGGAAATGCACAGCCCCATCCCAGATTCCCAAGCACCTCTGTGATTTAAAACGTGGTTTACCAGGCCTGACTGGGCAGCTCAGCTGGTTAGAGCATTATCCTGATAAGCCAAGATTTCAGGTTTGATCCCCAGTCAGGGCACAAACAAGAATCAGCCAATGCCCTAGCTGGTTTGGCTCAGTGGATAGAGCATCAGCCTGCAGACTGAAGGGTCCCAGGTCAAGGGCTCATGCCTGGGTTGTGGGCTCAATCCCCAGTAGGGGGCATGCAGGAAGTAGCTGACCATTGATTCTCTCTCATCATTGATATTTCTATCTCTCTCTCCCTCTCTCTTCTTCTCTGAAATCAATAAAAAATATGTTTTTTTAAAAAAAGAATCAACCAATGCCCTCGCCAGTGTGGCTCAATGGTTGTGCATCACCCCCAACACTGGTCAGGACACATGCCTTGGTTATGGGCTCGCTCCCTGGTAAGGAGTGTGCAGGAGGAAGCCCATTGATGTTCTGCTCTCACATGGATGTTTCTCTTTCTCTCTCCCTCTCCCTCTCTAAAAATTAAATTTAAAAAATCAACCAATGAATGCATAAATAAGTGGAACAACAAATTGATCTCTCTCTCTCCCTCTCCCTCAAATTAATAAAAAACCAAAACCAAAAAACCATGGTTGACCAGACTGATACTCCACACTGGGACCACAAAACATCCTCCTTCTCTGTGGGAATCTACCTGGCCTGCCCTGAGTAATCTTAAGAGCTTCACAAGCAAATTTTGGCTCATGAATTGCTCAACAACTATTTCTAATTTCTGAAAAAGACGATTACTAAGCCATCTTTCTACATTCTTCCCCACCCCACCCCACCCCACTTCCCTCACGCGGCAAACTCAGACTTAACCTTTAGGGAAACACACCTCTGAGAACCTGCAGAAAGCCATTCCCAATCCCCTAAAGGCTGGTTGAGTGCACCTGTGTGCACTGCCTTAGCAGGTAATGGTACTTATCCCTACCACAGCCTTTACACCCAGTTGTTATCTATTTTTCCACTGAACTATGAGCTCCTTGTAAGCAAGTGGTGTATTTTATTCATGCCAGCACACCTAGTGCCTGGCACATAGTAGATGCTCCATAAAATTATAAAAAATAGATGAGATTTCTGTGTTCATGATCCTGGGGCTTTGTAGAATTGGGGGGAGGACAGAAGCAAGATTGGGGGTGGGAGACAGGAGAATGTTATTCACCAACTAGGCAATGGATTTGCAAGATGCTCACGGAAATGTTATACAAAGCCAGTTTTTTGTTGTGTGTGTGTGTTTTTTTTTAAAGTAATAACCACCTATGCTGGGACATTTTGCCAGAGATTAAAATAAGGGGATGGATTAAAAAGGAGGGGGAGGGGAACAGAAAAAACACTTATGTGTAGTTCAGGCTAAAATACGTCCTCCACTTTCCTTGAAGCCAGTTTCGAAGGGCAGGGTCAAGACCATGTGTGAGATGTAAAGTAACTTTACGGGCTGTAATTATCATTTAAAAATATATGGAAGCATAATAAAACAAGACAATAGAAAATATCAGAGTGCATCCGTGGTAGTGAGATATTATTTAACAAAATGAGCTATATGTGCACAGATTGTGATGTAATACATATTTGTTACTGTGAATTATGGTCAATAAAAGTTGGGAACCCACTGCTTAGGAAATAGGGCTGTAGTTGGGGCCATGCAGGGTGGGGAACATCCTGGCCCTGCCAAGGCATTAGGGGTGAGTTAATGAACTGTTTGACCAAATATAGCAGGCTAATTTTTAAGATGATAATTTTGTATGGCCCGTGAATGATGTTATAAATATCCAAATGGCCCTTGGCAGCGAAGAGGTTCCCCACCCCTGAGAGAAACAGCACAGTTTCCCAGAAAGAGAACTCTAAGGAAGAGGAGGAAGAAAGATGCAACTTCCTCCACTAAGAGGCTCTGGAGGAAAGATGATGCCTTCGAAGGTGAGCAAGCTCTTGGTACAGACCCATGGGAGCCAGGGGCGGGGG